ATAATTTTATATAATTGTGTATAAATGGACAAATGGATAAAACTATTTTATATGTAATTATATAGAATTATATGTAATTTTATGTAATTTTTTATATAATTATATATATAAAATAATTTTTGCCGAGTTACTTTAATATTATATAAAACATGACCATCGAAAAAACTTATCTTTTATTATATTTCTGAATTAAACCGAACTTGAGTTACTTCATATCAAAGCATTCACATTAACATATAAATTATAGTATATGATATATATAGTATATATAGTATATAAAACAAAATTTGAGCTAAATTGAATAATCTTCCTGAGTTAAATAGATTTACTCTATTCTTATAGTTAAATTAACGAGATATTGTGTAAAAGCAGTGGCGACATTTAGGAATAATTAGAAATAACTCAAACTAGGTGTAACGTGACATATAAATTTAACAATACATGAACTATATATTCAATAATAAGAAGGCATTCTGGATTAAGGTTATCCTAATCTGTTCTAACTTATCCATTTTAAGATAACAGATGTATAGAATGCTACACATATATTTATCCGTATATTGTTATTAAATTAATGCATATATATTTGCATATGCATTTATAATTATGTAATATATTAATAAAATTACCACACATTCGTTATCTCAATAAAAACATTAATTGTCACTCACCAACCCGATGCGCAACAGCGGAGTTACATCTGCATCGTCGCTACGATGATTCTGTAACAAAAAAAAAGTATAAAATTCAAATTATAATAAATCAGGAAGAACACAAACAATATTTAAAAAAAAAATGCAAAATTCTCTTAAAATAATCATTTAATTTTTAAAATATATAATTTTTATAAGCATCGAATTTTTTAATTTATCATTGAGTTAAATATTTATAAAATAATTATACATTTTTAAAAACAGATCTTAAAAATTCATATATATGAAATTTCAAAATAAATTTTAAATAATCCTTTTTCTAATTATCATTTTTAAATCATTTTAAAATAAAACGACTCAAGAATAAATAAAAGAAAAATATTGAAAAATATTTTACATAAACAAAAAATATTTACCGCAAGGTTGCTCCGCCGATGCCCGATGTCTCTCCCAAATCTCCTCCTCCTCTCAGAATCAGGTTGACATCCTCTCGCACAAGACACTCGCGTAAAACACTCGCGAATAATATACTATAAACGCGCGCGGACTATTACTTGAATCCGATAATTTGAACGACACTCCCGAAGGCAACGCGCGACACGACGAATCGGCTGTTGTTCGTTCATTTTCAATTAAATCGGCGGACGAGGGTACGTTAGCTTTCCCGTCGTTGGATTTTTATACGAAGAGAACGATTTTATTCAATAATCTAAAAATTTATCTAGATATATTATTCTGATCCGAAAATTTTTAGACACTTAAGAAAAATCTTCTTTTCGTGTATATCCTCTGGGTACTGAGCTCTCTCATCACGTCAAGGTGTACCCGTGAGAAGGAAAATATTATTTGAAAAATATAATGTACAAGGACTGAATCTCTTATTACGATGTCTATAAGATATGATTAAAATCAATGGGATAAGCTAGAGATTAATAGAAAAGAGATTAATAGAAATATTTCTTTTATTATCGACAAATAGTTACATAGGTTTTTATGCCGATCGTATAACGAAAGATGAATGGAAACAAAAAAATTAATTTAATTATTAATTAATTATATTAATTGTAAAAGCAGGAATTGCATTTTTATTTGCGTGAGAGTATTTATATTAACGTAGCTTTTTTATGACTCATGATACCATTTGAAGAATAATCGAGTTATTCAAGCGATAAAAAATGTTACATTAAACAAAAATAATTGTCATCGTATTATTTTACAATTATCGCGAAATAGTAATAAATTCTATTTTTCCATCGCGTTTTGATTCCAAATGAATGATCCGTACATCTGTTATGTGATATATGATTGTCGTCTCAATTCTTTTATGAATAATTAATCCTGCGAGTTAGTAATCGTATACTTTTAATATTCATGAAATACAATGTTTTATATTATTTAGCATTATTATTTGTCGCGATTACATTTCAAAAAGAAATATGAAGAAGAGCGACACGCGACACGGCTACTTGTTTGTACGAGCTTCGGTAAAGGAATGACTGCGCAGTAACTACGCGTAAATGTGACGCACCGCCCCATGCCACCCCGTGCCACCCCGTGCCATTCTTTCCCCCTCCCCAAGGTCGCGCACCAACCTTTTATCAAAATATTAACGCGTATTACGAAGTAAGTAAAATAATATATTCTTAAATTCTTTACATTTTTAATGTTTCTCCGATTAATAGATTTTATTGCACGATTTTTGTTTTATTTCTTAAATTCATTATACGCACATACACAGCTCATGAATATCTTACGTATTTCAATTGTGTTACAATTAGCGATTGTTGTAATAACTTCATATTACACAAAATCCGCGCAGTGTACACATTTTTAACAAAAGAAAGAATGATGGCTTTTTGTTACTTTTGAATATCATTAATCTTTATTTAACTGTAAATCATCAGAGAGTGAGCAATAAAAATAATGTTGGAATATCAGAAACACTTCACTTGAGTAATTTTCTAAAAAAAAAAAGAACCACACTATAAGTAAAAACCACTCTCTTACCTTTTGCCTTTTGTCAGCGTATTATTAGTTGACGAGAAATATTTAAAATTATAAAATAAATGTCAAATATATTCTTCAATGTACCACGTTATAATTACATTAAATACTATCACATGCCACTAAATCTAAAATCTAAATCTAACTGTAATTAAGTTTCCGAGAAAATCGATGAGAAATTATTTCATTAGTTCCGTGATGAAATATTAATTGAATTTTACTTTGTTTCATACAATATAAAGTCTTACTTTATATCTTTTATTTTAAATAAGTCTTTTTTGTCAGGAGTTGATCATATTTAAAATGTATTTTAAATAAAAGAATAAAGTATTCATTATTTTAATCGTATCCGGTAATGCAATAAATTTAAATTCATGCGTCGTACGCTTTCGATTTAAAAATTAAAAGTGATATACAAAGCCTTCGACGTATTATCACTCATGACCATTAAAGAAGACGCCTATTTAAAGCGTGTGATAGTATAATTATCTATATACGAACAGCAATCGCTCGACATGTTCACGGATCGCAAATTATGAGCACTGATCAATTCGCATTCGTAGATATTTTAGTGGATTAATGCGACGTTTCGTACTACGTGTATCTCGCTCCAAGGTCACCGAGCGAATGCCGAAGTGATGACGTAGTCAATCACCGCGCCGCGCGGCATGCTTGATGCTCGTCCCATTCCTTATTGTTTGCCGTTCCGATACACAACTGTCGCGTATGAAAAATATTCACAGTTTATTCAATTACTTAATTTTATTTTACATTATTTTGAGAAACGGATATCGTTGTACATTTTGCGCTTTGCTTTCAATCCTATATTATTTGCGTGGTTCTTTTTTAAACGTAATTATTAATTAATAATCATTCGCGTGGAAAAGAATAACGAAAATTGAGACATATTGGAATATTTTTGATATTCCAATATGTCTCAATTTTCGTTATTCTTTTTAATGATTTATATATATAAACATTGATAAAATATTACTATACATTCTTTATATAAAGATACATGCAAATTTTCTTAATATTGCAAAACAATTTGCGCTAAATACAGCTTTGACTAAAAGCTACTAAACATCTGTTACTTAATTTTTCAGTTAATAAATTAATTTAAGACACTACTAATACTGCAAATTATTCTGTGTTTCAGACATTCTTTAAACTTAAACGTATAATGCTCATCATGGCTTGATAAAATAACTATTACGAATTATTTAAAATAAAAAATATAAAATAAGTTTCAGAAACTTATTTAAAATATAAAATCGTAGAAATCGATAAAAAACTGATACGACTTGTTTAAAATAAAAAATATAAAACAGTTTCCGAAAAACTTATATAAAATATTAAATAAGAAATAAACCAGAAGTGTATTTATAAGACAAAATTCAATAAATTAATATAACTTATTTGAATTTTCAATTTCATTTATTAAAATTCAGTTACTTTTATTTACATATGTAGGAGATGCGAAATTAAAATTTTTTCGTTTAAGGATCCATTAAATCCTTATTTCTATGTAGATAGTCGACACGCATTTATCCTGAGAATTAGTACAGAGACGAACCACATCTACTTTTGACGATACGATTTTATCGATAGTGTCAGAAAATGTATGTAGTAACATAGTTCCCGAACTGAAAATGGATGTACGGGCGATTTCGACGGTAACAGAAAAAAGGCCGACATGGCCTTTCTCTCTAGTTCACGTAATCAGGTTATGGGAAGCTGGCAAAAAGCAGCTGGAAACATAAGAGGTTAGAATCCACGTGTATCCTATTTAATTTGTGTATCTCTATATTTAAATCATCTCTCATTTTCATTAATTTGACCGATTTAATTCATAGTCACGTAGACAACAATAAAGAAGGAAGCAATAAAGAAAGGTAATATATTAAAGAAATAGACGTAAGCAAAAAGAGAAAAAGCATGTCGTAAATTAATGGTGAATTCACTTGGCTGCTCTCTCTGGATTAGAACACATTAAAGACTGCTTTATGTAAAATATCTGAATACAGTAGCATAATATGATCAACTTTAATAAAATGCATTCTTCATTAATTTTGTGTACAGCAGCTTTTAATGTATACTAATCCAGAGTAATACAAGTGAATTCACTACAAGTTAATCTAAACTATTTCTTCTAAATCTGATATATTAATTTAATATTATTAAATCTAATATTAAAACAGCATGGCGGAAGCACAAGAGGTCGACAAAAAGAAACGAAAGAAGAAACGTTCTTACATACAAATGGCGAAGAAAGTTGCCCGTCAGAGAAACTTTGGCAATGACCTGGACAAAGATATCTATCTGTATCTAATTCGTATTCTTGAGTTAATACGTAATGATTCACCCTCGACCGAAGAGAAGACTATGCTCGCACAAAACGTCTACCAGGAGATATCTGGTCGTGAGATCGTATGTGCCTGTAATCAAGTTGGATCTCGCATCATAGACTCTCTGCTGAAGTACGCTAACTTGGAAGCCATTCAAAAGCTAACTCAGGCATTGGAGTCTTCTCTGAGGCGATTGAGCAGCGACAAATTCGCCAGTCATATTTTACAGAGGATAATAATAGTCTGTGCTGACAGAGGCAACAGAGACTCTGCGTCAAACGCAAAGAATGCCGCTCGTAATAAAACAAATACGAAATCAAAGAATGCTGTTGATACTGTTATGGATATTGAGCCATCTGAAGTGCAGTCTTACAACAATATTGTTCTAAAACTGAGCAAATATGTTCTCAATAATAGTGAGGAGTTTGTATTTGACATTTATGCTAATCATGTTTTGCGAACAGTCATAGAATGTCTAGCAGGATTAATTGAGGATCCTGGCGAAGGTAATAAGAAGTCTGCCATGCCGGATCTCACAAAAAGACGTCCTGTAATACAAGAATATAAAGACTTGCTGATACAAAGTTGCGATCGATTGCAGAAATGGCCACAATTCTGTGAGTTTGGACGAGACCAATTAACTTCCGGTTTAGTACAATGTATTTTGTATTCTCTAAAAGATATTGATTCAAATTTAGTGAAAATTATCATCAAAAAGATTAGAACCAAATGTTTTAAAACAGGAGAAGACAAGAAGTTACCAAACATATTTCATTCAGAATATTCTATCAGGATACTGGAAGCGTGCCTGGTAGTGGCACAGCCGAAAACCTTCCAAAAATTATATAATACCTTTTTTGCTGAAAATTTAGAATATTTGTGTTCAACGCAAAATACCAATTTCAGCGTGCAAAAGTTATTAGATTATTGTGTTACTAAGGAAATCTTTGAAGAAATATTTGACAAAATAATAGAATACTTTCCAAAAATTCTCAAACTTGGTTTTACCGGGATATTAGTCAGCGCGGGAAATGCATGCTTGAGATTGCAGACAAAACAAGGTCCATTTATCAATGCAATGATCGACGTATTAAAATGCGGCGCATCCTCAGAAGATCAAACGCAGCTTGTACGATGTGTAATAACTTTAAAAAAACCCTCTCAACTGAAGGTTCAATCAAATAATTCACAAGTATCTCCCCATTTACATGGAAGTTTAATAATACAAGCCATATTGAAGTTCAATAAACCAATCAAAGTTGTGAATTCTTTGTTAGAAATGAATAACGAAGAGTTACTACAATTATTTGACGATCCAAAAGGCAGTCGAATCCTGGATGCTTTCATGGACAGCAAATATATCGGCGAGAAGAGCAGAGAAAAATTATGCAAAAAGTTGCACGGCATTTGGGAAGAATTAGCTAAAAGTACACATGGATCTAGATGCGTGGATAAAATATGGGCATGGGCACGCATAAATCAAAAAATTCTTATTATGGAGGAGTTAGCTGCAGCTGGGCAATCTTTAAGTTCTACGAAATCAGGCAAGATTATTTCCATGAAATTAAATGTCTCCTTGTTTGCGAGAGGTAAAAAGGAGTGGATGCAAATACAAGAGAAAGATGAGAAGACTAAAGCAATGTTTACAAATATTATTGGAAAGACCTCTAAGGAAAATTAAATTTGGAAAGGAAAAATTTGTTTAATGTAATAATTTCATATCGCAATATGTATTTTGAATAGTGTCTTATAATTTTTATAAGACACTAAGACACCGTCTTAGTGTCTAATATGAGTATCTAATATGACTATACAATAAAAGCCCTAAATGGCCTTTAATGTTCAAGTTGGATCTTTAGTGCTGAAATTTTGTGTGAAACCAAATAGATTCCGTATAGAAACAACAATAATTTCTTGATAAGATTGTTTTTGAATAATAATTTCTTGAAGATGCTGAGAGGCCCTGAAGACATCTTCATCCCTTGTCATATCGTCATGTCTGAACACAGGACATGATGAAATATCAGTTCCGTGATTAGTAAATTTTGCTATTAATTTAAAAACTAATATAGCCTCGATATTTTCGTATTAGGATTTTCCTCTTAGAATATTCCAAAGAATTCGTTCTTAAAACGACATGAATTTTAGGATATCCTGTTGTATACTACATATCTCAAATTGCGCACCATTTCAGTCTCGAAACGTAATTCTAACAGAATAGTATCACAAATTAAATTGACAAGCAATTTAATTGCATTTCAAGAAAATAAATTCAGCGTGGTTTGAGAGATTTTGTGTATATATATATATATATATATATTCACACAGAATTATTTCAATACTAAAGATCCAGTTTGAACATTTAGGGCCTTTAATTTCCGATTCATTTTGAGAGAATTCCATTTTGTAGACATGTTTGTTATACAAATGCATACATGTTTGTTAAACATGTTTGTTAAACAAATGGCAAATTATAATATATTGTATATCACAAAATATAGAATATTAATTGTCTTTTACAAAAAAAAATAAGCATATGCAATTTTAATATATTTATCCAATTAAAGTTTTACATCCAATTTTTCTAATATAATTGTAAGGTATAATAAAAAATCTACTGATATTGTATTGTTATATTCTGACATAGAATAATCATATATTTCGTTAGTTTATAAATACACTTTATAGGATCCATCATACATCCCCGCAACGTAATGTGCCTAGGAAAAGTTACAATAATTCGTAGTCTAAATTTGAGCAAAGTTCCCTAACGCGTATAACCGATAAATCCACTTCTTCCCGTGTTGACTAGACTTAAATATACGTGATAATCATATCCTGAGATACGTGCGCGCAAAGTAAAGGATTCTCAAGTTATAATTGTTACAATCGTTAACTCTATCAATTGACTAGGATAAAATCGATGCGATTCGTTCTTCATGTACGAAACATCGAGATGAGCGTAAACACATAATAAAATCAAATCATTTTATGTATACTGTAGCTATGTTTGTGTGTGCATGTATATATCAACTTCATCTTGCAATACATATTATTTTCATAACGATATTCTTCTGGTGTAATATCGAGATATAGTAAAAAGTTACATCAATATGAGAGAACATATATTATTCGATCGTTTGAAGAAGAGAAGAAGAAAAACTAACTCGTGCAACATTATAATTTTATGCATAGATTTAACCGATATCAAGAATAGGAAAAATTTTACATTTCATTAAACAGCTTCGAATGAGCAATGTAAATGCATTTTTCTAAATCGCGTCCAAATAAGTGATCCTTAATTGGACGAGCGTGTTTTTTCAACTCCGCTTTGAGAAACTTAACTGGTTAACGGCGAAATGAAGAAATGTCTACGCTAATGGGAAATATTTTCATAATGCTACATTTACCGCTATAATATTCAGAACAATGCGAAACGCACATCTGCGATTCATTGATCGGATTCACGGTTATCTATTATTCTTTCAATTGCAGAGATTGTTTAAGACACGCATTATTTTTATTTTGTTTGGTTTAACCCTAGATAATAAAGGGAAATCTCTGCGATTCTCGGTGAAGGAGAAAAAGGAGAACAATTCTGGCACGATTCTGATAAACATTTACAACAATACTATGCATACTTCAACGACGTTATTTGTCCGGAAAAACGCTGTGCTCGATTATACTACTTGCGAAATCAAGTGTTTGTTTTGTATCATTAATTGATAAAATCTTAAAACGGATTTGTCACATATATCCGACGTTTCATTCAAATAATCTAGTTATCTAAAGAAATAATCTAGTTATCCTAAGAAATTTACTTGCTTTTCTATGCATTTTTAATTATTTGACTATTTTTAGTTGTTAGCTGACCGAAGTAAATTGTTAAATTGTTCAAACTGTCAAAATTTTTAAATTATTTTACGTGCTCGACCAACACAAATTTTCTTAAGATATTCCATCCTTTATTCAACTTTTGAATTTTCGTGTACATACTGTTCGAGTAACGTTATTTTAATTTTCAACTCTTCGCAACATAAAATGTTAAGTTTTCCGTCAACAGTAAAAATCTTCGGGAAACGGAGCAAATTTTTTTATTTCGGATGTATAAAAATTTGAAAAATTCTTGTTAAAGACTTTAACATCAATGGTTTTTCTCTATCATAGAAGTCGGATTGCATTTTATTAATTTTTATTAAGATTTAAATAATCTATCAGAATTCACAATAAAAAATATCAACGATGCCTTTAAAGGGGTAATCACGTTGTCGAAAGTTTAATATAATCTCCAAAGATAAATAACATCAAATTCGTTGATCGATGGCCGATATTCATAATCCGCTGTTATTTAAGAGCGTTTTAAATAATATCTTAAGAGGTTAATAATGATGATTAACTTACGATATTTTAAGATTGTACTTAAGATAGTCTTAAATATAAGAATTGCCTATATTCGCGGTTTTTTAACTGGCTAAATAATCATAAACTTCATATGTTATCGCATATTTTGAATTGACTGAAACGCCGGAATTAGAAATCTATCCAGCGAATAAACCGATCATCGAACTAGTTCGATTCCAATGCTAGTCCAGTTTTCAGGTATTCTTGACAAGCGTATAGTCAACTTTTTTGTAAATATGTTGGAGTAATTCTTATTCATAGTCATCCACGTATCCAGATATAGTACAAAAGAAATCTCTGGCCAATTTCACGGAAAGGAAAGGATAAGTGTACGCAGAAGATGTATGATCGGCGAAAACACTGTAGAAGATGAATGAGTTAAAAAGAATGGGCGCAGGAATTTATCTTGTGAATGTATAAATACCTAATTATCCAAATTTGGAATTGACTCTTTTCTTTTCTCGTCTTAATTCTCACGGAGATACAATCAGAAAGCGGAGAGGACAAACGAATATCTCAACAGATTCAAGCCAATCTCCAATTTCGAGGATCAGGCATTCGATTTCACAGAAGTGAGTTCCTTTTGGTTCATTTCAATTCATACATTCTTTACAGAGGAGAGTTTTTGTAGGAAACGCAATCAGCGTGACTCGTAATCGGCTCTGGCCGATCGCTGATTACTCCTAGCACTGCGACGTCACTTTCCCTTCGAGACCCCGACAGATGGCACCGGCGTGGCGTCGACCTCATTGATATTCGTAGAGAGATTTGTAGCGGTGATCCTTGGCGGACTGCGTGAGGCTGATCTTCGCGGTTCACGCGGCGGCAGGTTGTTACAAGTCGTATGGTGGCCGGCTTCCCAGTCGCGATGCTGGCAAAAGGAGCCGCAATATCTAGCGATTCCGCATCCACCGCAGGTCTCCAGGGCAGGTCTGCCACAATTCCAACAGCTCTGAAAAAAGAGATCAGGATTTGCGCTCTTAACTCGGCGAGTTTCTATTAAATAATATATTAAATAATATGAACTGCATATCAGATGTATACCTATTGTGAGATTTGAAGAAAAAAAAATGAAAAATTGATTATACTGATTATATTATATAATATATCGTAAAATAAAGTAATAAAAGTTACTTTGTCTAAGTCAATTTTGACTTAGACAAAGTAACTTTAGCCTAAATTAAAAAAAAAATGTCTAGATGCATGCATGTTCAAAATTAGTACGTCATAAAACATTTCAATCTTGGCATGTGGTGTATGAAAATTATCAAAATTTGAGCCAAATTTATCATTGTATGTTAAATTTACCACTATAATGACAATTACACAATCATAGCTATGTTTATTTTATCGATATTTAATATTAACATAAAAATGTATTTCCTCACTTGAAAGAGAAAGATATATTGTAAATTTAAACACACAATCAGCATTTTAAGATTCTTGCAAATGAATTAATCACACCGCTACACTTACGGATCCCATCATGCTAGTGAGGTGAATGTCTTTTTCGTCCTCAGTGGTCGATGGCGCTGAATTCGGTGTCGTCGTCGGCGTCGTAACATTCCTGGTGCTGGCTTCAATCGCGGTCGAGTTCCCGTGAATTCTCAGAAAAGGGCCCTGACGGAGACTGCCCGGATTTCTTTGGGACAGAGGAAGATCCAGTAATCGATGAACCCTCAAACGTTCGTTCGCTCTCGACTCCGCAACCGCAACCGCTACGGCACGTTGTACCTCCGCCACTGCGGCCCTTTTCACTTCTAACACAGCTTCCTCTAGAAATTCCCGTGAGACCATTTTCAATTAGCATCCTTGTTTAATGCCGCCTTATTTAATTATTACATTTTCAGAATCTTTTTGATATCATCTACAAAATTAAATTATTAATAAATTGTGAAATTATAATTATTTGTTTATAATTCAAATTGAATCTCAATTGCTTCTAAAATAATTAATTCGAATACGACAACAATCTATCCAATAATTTTAAGCGATTGGTTAACACAACTTTCTGATATAATAAAGTTAATTATCTCGAATTAAAATCTGTAACACAGTTAATAACATTAGGTCTGTAAAAGCCATTTAATTTATGTTAATCAAGGCACTAATTAATTTCAAGGAATCAAAATGACATAACTCAAAAAAAAGAATAGTAAATATTTTAAAGAATAATAAATATTTTAATAAAAATAATCGCAGATGTAACATAAAAAAATTGACTTATCTAACATTTTTAACAAAAAAATTTCTAATTGAGAATCTTAATCAAATAGACTCATCGT